ATTTGAACTTTTGGTTTCCCTGGAGCATTACGTGGCATTTGAAAACTACCACATTTCTCTTCTTTAATAACTCTGTAAATCGTAGATTTCCCAACACCAAGTGTACTGCTAACTAACTCAACGGTCTCATCAACACTTTCACATAAACGTTTGTCCGTAAATGATTTAAAACAATTAAATATTAATGTTTTTTCATTAACTGTTAAAGAACCAATTTTTTGGCGTTTACACGGCACTTCCAAATTTTCCATAACACTAGTATACATAATAAACTGCACCTTGCAACTGAAGTACCTACTTTTAGTGAACTGTTAAGAATTTTGAATACGCCACTTGGACCTTCCTACAAAATGGAAAAACCCACTATCACATTTTCTGTGGAATAAGTTTAGAAGGTAATTATCTAGTCAATTACTGTCGTAGATTCCTGGAATTAAAGAATTAAATGTTTGATTGTTGAAACCCTTACTTCGTGGAATGCACTCATTTCAGATAAAATAAAACGTTTTATTTTATCTAAAGAATTAACCTTTATTTTGCAAATAGGTAGGTACTTATTAAATTTTTATTGGTTATATATAACCAATAAAATAAACATCTTACATTTCTTGCAAATTCATTAGTAACTGTTAACCTCCATCACTCCGACACTGGGAACCTTATTTAGGGATTAGTAATCCTCACAAGTATTGTATTCTATTCTGCTCCAACCTTTATACCTGGTGGTCATACTCAATTTAAAATTGTTTTCCTATATACTTCTGTAAACTTGTTGACAAATATCTGTTTTTCATTGAGTCACCCGTATCAACAGTTTAGGGATTTGCATACATAATTTATTGTTTTATTACTCTCTCATACATAAAAATACACTATAATAAATGCAGAAAACTGATTTTCTGTTGATGAGTTACGGGCTTAATTTGTAGATAATCTCATTAATTCAACTAACAATAAATAAAAGAAACATTTAAATATTATCAAAATATTTATTTATCCTACATTTATACTACGTACTATTTTATCCTGAAAATTATCCTGGTAATTATTTGATAATAGAAAATAATAGGGGTGTAGGGTTGTGTTATAGAGGTAGTACCTTTCATGTCATAAAAAACTGGTACAACTCTTATAATCAAAAATCCTGTTTTTTAAGTTGTGCACGTTGATCTTGTCACATGTGTCATTGTAATTTCTAGGGCATCGTTGCCAGTTCAGCAAAAATATTATGTAAAACCAGCTAAAAGCAGGACTGTGTGACATACCGTCAGTTTTGAGTATACTAAAAACTAAAACATCGAGCATTCTCGATCAGTTATATTAAATTTGTTTAAACATGCAATGCATCCTAAAAATTCTCATAATAATTTTGTAATTTTCTATTATTTCAATTATAGTCGGCACGTAATTTCGTGAGAAAATTTACAGAGACCAAAACAAGCAAAATACTAGTAAAATGGCAACGCTGTTAGAGTTACCACTAGTTTATTGTAGTACATACTAGTAGAACAGTAGCGTAGATATCTAATTTTAAATTAAATAGTTTTTACTTTCATTTAATTTTATTTACCAAAAAGTTTCATTTTCTATAAAGTTTAAATAAAAAATAGCGGTGTTTTTAACTTCTGTGATATATCTTGGGAGTGATAACACTAATCGACTCGACTGAACAGAACTTATTGTAAAATAATAATATCTATATCAAATATTGTTAATAATATTAGTTATTCAGCGAGAATGACAGTGATAGTTTCAGTTGACATCCTCCCCTAAAACATTAATAATTTTTGTCCTATCAAGAAATGTGCAATATATATAAGCAAAATGAGAATATCTACAATTAAAATAGAAATAAAGGTTTCAACTAACACCTAATAAGTACTTACTATCTACTCAGAATCACTGTTATCACTAGTATCACTCGGATCATCTAATTTTATAGGTAATTTCGTTAATGCTGGTAAATATTTAACATAGTCATTTTCCACTCCGATTACATGTTTCATTTTTATTACATTTTCCCAGTTGGTTGCTGTAATTTTTGTGACTTCTCTTCTAATTAACTGGAGAAAAGTAGACAAAAAATTTTGGAACAACGTTTTTTCTCATTATATTTCCTTTAAGTTGATCCCATATTAACTCTATTGGGTCCAATGTACAATAATAAGGAGGAAGTATAAACACAGTATGCCCGTTACTACGAGCAGAGTTGTCAACAACGTATTCCTTTTCGTATTGTTTACTATGAACAACCTCCAACAATTGCTTTTTAATATAAGATGTCTTAAAATACAAATCTTCCGTGAATAAAAATTCCTGAATTTTTAATTTATTCCAACTATTATTTGAAGTTTTTTCATTAATCTTGAATGATAGGATGCGTTGTCCATGATAATCACACTATCTTTAAGTAATTTCGGAAGAAGACATTTTTCAAACCATGATTCAAAAATTGAATTTTTCATATCGTCATGATAATCCAGAGACGCGTTTTTAATTTGTTTTGCAGATATTAATAATGCATCGTCGACTCATCCATTTTCTCCACCGCAGTGTAAAATTATAATCCTCTTTCTTTTATTGGGCGGTACTGAGTTGAAACACTTTTTGTTATTATTTGTCCACCTTTTTTTTCACGGTGTCATGAGTATCATACCAGGTCTCATCTAAATAAACAATATTTCGTTTCATTTTTCGATACTCAGTTATCTGTCTGATATAATTGTTTCTTAAAGAAATTATTCTAGTACTTTCCATCAATGTCTGTCTCTTGTCTATAGTTTTGTACTTAAAATTATTGGCTTTAAGAAATAATCGAAGTGTTGTTGCTGAACACGAGAGAATGCACTTCCGCACTAATTCGCTTCGAAGGCTTTCAATAGTTGGAAAAATATTAGCCGCATACATTTGGTATATTGTTCTAGTTATAGATTCAATTAAGTGCGGTTCTATTTTTCTGAATTTGCCACAATCCTTTCTCTTATGTCTAGAAGAAGATGTTTCTCCTATAATTTTGTAGCAGGTTACTTTGGGCACTCTGGTTAAAAAACATGTTTCTGCAATTGCCTCTGATTTAAACAATTCAGCACACAGTCCTTCATAAACATTTTTTAGCAAACGTTTGGAATCATCAGAAAGGTATTGAAAATGTTGCTTACGTTTTACTAAACGCCTTTGTAAATCTTCCAATCGATTAGAGGGTTTCATTGTCTCTTCAGCTACATAATTATTATCGCACCACGGACGCAATATTTTAAAATTATCAAACGTATAAAAACATAATCACGTAAAAACGCATCAACAAAAGTAAAAAACGTAAAATATAAAATGTTTTCCGTATAAAGAACACTGAAAAAAGTCACTACCAAACTAACTTGCGGTTCACTATTTGAAATTTGAATTTAACTGAACGCTGTAGCAGTTATGATTTTACTAAAAATATTCTTGTCTCCCAAAAATCTGTTGGTCATATCCGCAATTTAAAAATAAAATATTATAAAAATTTGCCTTCCTAAGTTTTCCACGTCCCGTGCCTTGGGTACTGGACGATCTAAACCTGATCCCTTATTTTATGACTCCGTAAGCTCAGTCAAATACTGATATAATCTTACCCCAAGTATGAATAAGTCTACCGACAAAAGATAATGCATTATGATTTGTCATAACAGCGATATCCGATGTATTCATTGGCCGTTAGTCCACGTGGACTTGTCATAAGTTCGATGAAAACTTAATTGGTTGATTGTTCATATCTGGTTCATATTTTAAAATACCAGGCACGTCTGAATCTGAATGTTAATATCGAGTGGAATCTGGAAACTTTGTATTATTATACGTCTGAGTCATTGATAATTTTACAGACTCCTGGTAGAGTAGATACCTTTTTGTTGAATGATTTTATTACAGATACATATATTTTTGCACAGTCTCACGGAAATACGAGGCTACTATAACTACCCGTACATTGATTTGTGCTTTATACCAATTTATGAAAATATTTCAATTCAAAAATAATGACAGGTAATCAATCTAGACCAACTTCAAATTATTATAAATAAAACATTACAGTGAGATATTGGATTGTAACTGTTACGTTTTGAAAAGCGTTTTTTCGCCCCGAATATTTTATAGTTTATAATACGTAGGACAAACTATAATGTTAGTTTTTCGCATTTTTTATCGATCTTGTAATAAATAATAAATCAATCTTGGTAGTTTGTCTGTTACAAAACTTATTGACACAGAATACAGTTCGAGTTCGGTAGGTAATTTAAGTATAAAATTACAGTAGATGCATTTCAATGTTCCCTGTGCCAATACCCTAGGTTTAAAGATCCTTCAACCATTTTGGATAATAACTCAACCTTATCTCTGCTTATTTAATTTCTTAGATACGGTTTTTTGTTGTCAATGATAAAAATAATACCTATCTAAACATTTTATACATTTTTAAAGGTTATTTTTTTTATTTAGATTTAGTGAAATTCCGTTATCTGTAATGGCAACAACAAATTGATTTCAGAACACAAGGTTACATTGGGAAAAAAAGTGTACTAGTTTTATATGACATGAAGAATAGAAAACATTTGGATATAGTGATCGTAAACCTCCAGTAACAAAGTGCACCAGAAGAAGAAGAAGAAGAATGGCCTCCTCGTTCACCCGATTTGAATCCTAAATAATATCATTATTAAGTCCACTTTCTAGTTACTGTACATTGGTCTCATAAATCTTTGAAAGAATGTCTTTAGTTGTAGTTTTTGTTTCTTAACGTATTTTTCGGTTTTTATACAAATAAAAAACATTTGATTACTCGTTTACTCAAAGTATTATATTCGCGTATGAATATAGAGCACTGCAATGAATATATAGCACCTAAATTACATACCATAAATTTAATATGTCTAAGAAGCATCGTTGTAGTCATGCCGTTATTAGTAGTAATTATGAACTATGTGACCCTACAAACAGTATTCCAGTGATTAAATTTAAATACCAACCTTGCGGTTGTTGTTGCGGAATGACCGGTACGGGAATAACTTTTCCCATAAGCACTCTAGCTCCCAACTCGTTTTCTCCGCCCCAGTTCCCGTAGGAAGTAGATCTTTCAAGCAGCCTCTGTCTCGCGTGTTTCTCGATTACATCAGCACATACGTATCTTCCACAAAACCTAGCCCATTGGTCCGCCCGGAAACCACGACCGTTGTCACGCAAAGTGGGATTCGCTCCTAGAACAAACAATAGATAAACATAATGTTTCACAATTAAGAGAAATGTTTATTAAAATTGATGTAAAGCGAGGTGGTAAGTTTACTTAATATTTCAACCTTATTTTGTAGCTGTTAGACTTTCTATCGCTTTAGCTTTTTATTACATACATATCCTTTATTATTTGAAAAACAAAAGTAAGAGTTCATAAAAGAAATCTTCAAAAAAGTGCTACGCCAGTTGGCATATTTTCATTGAATAACTGTATAAATTACACTGAAACTAACGAATGTGACACACTCAACATTTTATGTTGTACAAATATAGAGAAAAGGCACCTCATTTCGACAGTTGCCCAATTTCGAATACTACCCTATCTACCGTGCCTTCTATATAACGCAGTCACAATTTACTGTTATGTTCTGTAAGACCAAATAATGCATGTCGTAGAGTTGATTCGAAATTGTTGGGGTGACTTGACAGAGCAGGCAATTATTTTTGGAACTGCTGTCGCCATCTATTAGGTAAATGTTCAAACTTCAAAATCATTTCTAAAGTATTCTACAATGTTGAGCAGCTATATTTGAACATTTATCTATCTAAAGCCCAAAATCTATTCATGTGTTGAACATAGACCTCTCCCATTTGTCTCCATTTGTCTTTGTCTTCTGTTTGTCTTTTCCACATTGGAGCTGCGCTTTGCTCAATGTCATCTTTCCATCTCATTTGCGGTCGACCTCTTGACCTTTTTGCAGTATATGCAAAAATGTAAATGTAAAAAAAAAAGATGTAGAGTGTTAACGCACTCTACATCTTTTACATAAATAAAGTATCTAAAAAAAATCTAGTATAGTATAACAGTAAAACCTCCCTTAACCGAAACATTTTTAACCAAAACATCGTTTAACCGAAACGGCTGACAGTTTAAATAATTTCGTCAATAAAAAGTAATATTTTATCGCAAGATGTAAACAATTCCAATAATTTCACTTACCGATTGATGCCTATGTGTGTTGGAAAATAAAAACAACCAAAAGCTCTAAAAGATATTTGAGAAAAAGCACTTCCAGTTTTTTATAGCTCAAAAATGCTCATGGATGTCGACCACTTTATTTTCAGAATGGTTCGAAAATTAATTCGTCCCAAGTGTAAAATCCTTTTTAAAATAAAAAAACCTTTCCATCAAAGCATTGTTGCTTGTTGACAATGCACCAACCACTCTCAAAATCTATGCAATAGTGATAATCGTCAGATTTTGCCACCGAATGTTACGAGCTTAATTCAGCTGTTAGACCAGGAAGTAATAGAGACATTCGAGAGACATTATAGAGGAGCATTCTTAAGACATTGTTATTACAGGGGACGAATAAGTCCAAAAGTGTTCCTGAAATCTTCAATTGTTCAACAATGAAACATGTTGTTTATCGGTGTGCTGAGTTCTGGGCCAAGATCAAATCTTCAACTTTGGAAAAATGCTGGAACTAACTTTTTGATAGGATTTTATTCGACGATCCTGAAGAAGAAACTGGTAAAGAAACGACAGAAAAAATTAAACCTTTAATAAAAAATTTGCCGGGATGTAACGAAATTAACTAAGAAGAGATACTTGAGTGGTTAGCAGCCGATGACTCAGAAAGTGAATTCATCGACCAGGTCATCATTGATATGGTTCTTCATCCAGACAACCTGAGCGTATCAGACGACGAAGATGACGAACCAACAGACAACAGGTAGCATGAGACCGCCGATGAGATTTCAATGCCTTAAGGAAAAGAATTTTATACAGTAGGCCTAATTAGTTAGGGACACGAGTAGGTTCTTAATTTTTGTTGTCATTGTATAAAGTTTTGTCCTTTTCAGATTGCTTTACGTTTCGTCGAACGATGAAATGAGGCAAACTCACGACGTTCTGTAAATGTACGATAGAGAAATGTAGCTGCAAAACATCGTTGTCAAACGATTACATAAAAGAAAATAGAAGATTTCTTTAAAAAATCATGCTAAACTTGTTCATTTTCCTTAATTTTAATACTTTATTTTGTATTTACTTATTAGAAAACATTACGAAATCACCGCACAGTATTTTTTTAATACCAATATTTTAACCAAGAATTGCTAAATGTTAAAAATGTTTAAAAAAAACAATGTTATTTTCAACCGAAATTCTTGTTATCCGAAACGCCCTTCTCCCAATTATTTCGGTTAACGGAGGTTTTACTGTACTTCTGCACATCCAACATTCTTGCACTAGTATCGTCTCTTTTTGTAATGTGGGCAATATTATCTAGAAAAGCAAATTTAGATGGACGTCCATGTACTAAGTTTGATACTGATGTAGCGGTTTCTTCACTATTCTCTTCTCGTATAATGAGAGAACAAGGTATTGAATCTGAAAACCCCGATTTTTCAAATTCGATAGTTTGAAATGGTAGGAACGATCTGAGAACTATCTTTTATATACTTAATAAAAACATCTCCACGATTTTCTTTCCTAGTATTAAATTCCTCTTGCCTTTTCATATTTTCATTATCTAGAATTATCAGTGTGCTGTTCAGCCCGATGAAAATTTTTCTGCCTCTATTTATTTTTTTCTTATTTCTAATTATCATCAATATTTAGCACATTCCTGAAAATTACTTTTAAGGAAAGAGGACGATTTTATTTTTTCTCCTCAATTTTAACACCTTTACAATGTTTGTAGGTTCATTAGAACCAAAATCATTAGCGTTATCCCTAATGTTAAGAAACATCAATTCTTTTCTCTTCTACGGCGTTCATTCAATCAACTGATTAAGCTCTCTTAAATCACATGAGTTGAGGACAATTGCTGCTGAGGCTGGTTAATCATTTCGTTTACTTTTTTCCAACTTTTTAATTTTTCCAGAGAAAAGATTGTGAATAAGTTTTTTCTTCTTGACAATTATCTTAATGAAATCTAAGAGCTTCTATTAACCTTTAGTTTTGTTTTGATTTGCCGTCCTGTGTACCACTCAAAATTTTAAGATAAAAATTATCTAAAATATATATCCACGCCACTGGCGTATTTTGTTTTATCGATAAAAAGAAATGGCGATAAAATAATGAAATACTAATTATTTTCATTTAGCAAAAAGACAATGCTCGACGATTATTTTATGCTTTAAATTAATTGGATTAAATAGGGACGTCACAATTATATTAACCGTGTAAAACCTCCTGTCTGTCAAACTATGTCAAATTGATATCACATGGTATGAAAATATTAATGTAACATTTTACTAAAAATAATTATTACACCCAATGTTCAATGCTAACATTATTAACCTCAATACACTTAAATTCTGCATATTTCGAAAAGATTTTATGGTTTACAAATTAATGTACATAATAAGGTCCTTTCGAATTTAGGCAAATTTAGGCTACTGGTAGCGCCATCTCGAAGAAAATTTTAAAATCTATTTGTTCGACTTCAATCACAGAATAATAAACAATCAGAATGTCCACTCTCAGATGCCGCCTTTGAAGTTTTTCAGCACACGCGCCATATTTTAGAAGGAAACACATAACACAGACATATGATTTGTAAGGTTATGTAATTGTTTATATTTATGTTTAATTATATTATTATTTATGTTATTATATTTAACATAATATAATTGTATAGTATGTCTATGATTGCCGTAAGTCAATTAAACCGGGTTAATTTTTCTATGCACACCACATAAACAACACTGGTTCCCTCTAAAACATGACGGAACGTCTGCGCGAACGAGATGCGCGTACTAAATTTTCCATGGAGAGTGGGTATTCTGATTGTTTATTATTCTGTGCTTCAATTTTAAAACGTATTATTTGTGTAAACACTACTGTGACAGTTCTAGATTTTACTATACATATCAATTCAAATATATATTACTTGAAGATGGGTAGAGACTATTACAAAATTCTAGGTATTTCTAAGAATGCTACCGATGATGAAATAAAGAAAGCGTATAGAAAATTGGCGTTACAGTATCACCCAGACAAAAACAAGTCTCCAGAAGCCGAAGAGAGGTTCAAAGAAGTGGCGGAAGCATATGAAGTTCTTTCCGGCAAGTAGATAAATATCATGAATTTGTGTTATTATACAATTTAATTTGGGAAGAGAATTTAAATTTTAACAGTTGCATTATTCTGGTAATGTGGTTATAACTATATTTATTGCGATTTTTTTTTCAGAACAGTACTTGTTTATAAAAATTGGTACTTACCTCTTTTTGAGATGGGAAATCCACATATTCCTATTCAGCGAAAATTTTTACATAAAACAGAATAGTTTTTAATTGTCTACCCTTCCATGCATACCTACAGAAAGGTACCTAGCTGCCGGACTATGATACGTTTTTTCGATATGATGGGTGTACTGTACCTATCCTACTTACATGGCGCATCCCGCATTTTAATCTTCACCTTTTTCTTTCGGTCGATCCATTCCTTCTCTATCTCTTATTATTCCTCTGCAGTCTTCTCTTCATTCTAATGTTGATCTTTCTTTCGTTTTTTTATTCCATGGAACATAGTTTAAGACCTGTTTTAGCCATCGTTCTTCTTTCATTTGAAGGGTATAGATGCAAAAGTCACATTCTCCACTTTTTAAAATTTTAGAGAAAATGAAAAAAAGTTTACAAACAATATTATGAAGTCAACTATAATAAATTTTTTGTTTCCTTTTCCGAGAAAGTAACTTAATAATGGAGTTTATAAACGTATGGCAAGGAATCCACCGCTGAATATAAACAATTACTTATTAATTTGGATAATGTTTTGTAATGTAAATTATTTTTATTTGGAATTGTAATTTATACCCATTAAATAGAATAACTATGAATAACCAATAATAAAAAGATTAAATGGAGTGGTCATAATTATTTATGTTTAGATAAAAAGAAGAGAGACATATACGACGCATATGGAGAGGAAGGACTAAAAGGTGGATTTCCAGATGCAACTGGAGGTTTTGGTGGTAATACCTTTACTTACACATTTCATGGAGATCCGAGA